GTGCCTCGTGATTTTTTTTCATGAAAAAAGTGTGCCTTTGCACAAAAAGGTTGAAAAACACTGTTCTAATGTATATATTATTATAATCTATTCCACAGTTATTCTTTAGTATTCAGGCTTCGATTATAACCTTGGTTCTTTTATGGGTTGAGTTTTGTTTTGGTTTTTTTTTGCTTCATTCGAACAAAGTCTTATCTGTTTTTCCTTTGTTTAACCTTTGGTTTGTATGTATAACCTGTTCCTCTTTTTTTTCTAGGCAGAGGAAGATGGTAGGTCTTCAGGAACTGCAGGCAACATAGAAGGAGTTGTGATTAAAATAATCCGGGTTTTCGTGGATGCCTTTCCCCACGTGCCAGAGCATCGGCGCCTCCCAATTCTAGAGCAACTTACAAGTACTTTGGGGGCGGAGCGATTTCTGTGGATTCTTTTAGTACTACTGTTTGAACAACATGTCACCAAATCTGGGGCTGCAGTAGCCAGTGGGGAGAAGGTAGGTAAAGAATTTTAAAAAGTACTTTGTCTTTAAAAGTTGTATGAGTTGCTGTGCAGAATGTTGCAATATAATCCATAAATATACAGAATTTTATAATACTGTTTTCTTCATCTTGCTATTTACACAGGATATTGCTTTGGAAACCGATACGGAATTCTGGATTTCTGTATGTTGTGAATTTAGTGTAATTGAACAGTTGCAAAGTTTAATGAAGCTACTCAACTATTTAACAAACCTGCCAGAGAACAAAGAAGGTAATTTCCGCCAAAGAAACTTATAGTCAGCCACTCAATAAACAGATTGGGTTGAATCCCAACTGAAAAAAGCTTGTTAGGAGGTTCTTAATCAGGCTTGATGGTCTTTTCTTCAGAGCTGGCCCCAAAACACAGCGCAGCAAATGGCACCTCACCGTGATCAGGTTCTCAAATCAAGGTAGTTATTTGAGCATATAGAGAAGAAGATCCCCTAAAAAATCTCCATTCTGGCAGTAATGATAAATGAAACATCCTTCATGGTGCTAAAAATCTGCTGCCTGAGTCAGTCCCCTTACTCTCCCCAAAATTAGAGCAAAACTTGTAGTACTTAAGGAATGGTCCAATTTATACAACATGCTGCACTTCTTTATGGCATAGGTGTGAGTAAATGCAGTAAGTGGCACTTTTAATTAGATTTTTCCATAATATGTACATAGATTTACTTACTTACTTACTTACCTTACCTTACCTTACCTTACCTTACTTACTTACTTACTTACTTACTTACTTACTTACTTACTT